GATGACGATGATGACGAAGATGATGATGATGATGATTTTGATGATGAGGAAGCTGAAGAAAAGGCTCCAGTAAAGAAATCTATACGAGATACTCCAGCCAAAAATGCACAAAAATCAAACCAGAATGGAAAAGACTCAAAACCATCAACACCAAGAACAAAAGGTCAAGAATCTTTCAAAAAACAGGAAAAGACGCCCAAAACACCGAAAGGACCTAGTTCTGTAGAAGACATTAAAGCAAAAATGCAAGCAAGTATAGAAAAAGGTGGTTCTCTTCCCAAAGTGGAAGCCAAGTTCATCAATTATGTGAAGAATTGCTTCCGGATGACTGACCAAGAGGCTATTCAAGATCTCTGGCAGTGGAGGAAGTCTCTTTAAGAAAATAGTTTAAACAGTTTGTTAAAATTTTCCATCTTATTTCATTTCTGTAACAGTTGATATCTGGCTGTCCTTTTTATAATGCAGAGTGAGAACTTTCCCTACTGTGTCTGATAAATGTTGTCCAGGTTCCATTGCCAAGAATGTGTTGTCCAAAATGCCTGTTTAGTTTTTAAAGATGGAACTCCACCCTTTGCTTGGTTTTAAGTATGTATGGAATGTTATGATAGGACATAGTAGTAGTGGTGGTCAGACAAATGGAAATGGTGGGGAGACAAAAATATACATGTGAAATAAACTCAGTATTTTAATAAAGTAAAAAAAAAAAAAGTACAGGGGCACCTGGGTGGCTCAGTCGGTTAAGCATCTGCCTTCGGCTCAGGGCATGATCTCAGAGTCCTGGGATCGAGTACCGAGTTTTGGGCTCCCTGCTCAATGGGGAGTCTGCTTCTCCCTCTCCCTCCGCCCCTCCCCCCACTCATGCTCTCTCTCTCTCTCTCAAATAAATAAATACAGTCTTAAAAAAAAGTTCCAGTTGACTCTGGAACAGCATGGGTTTGAACCATAGTACAGGTCCACATACAGGTGGATTTTTTTTGATAAACACACTCTACTGTAAATGTTTTTCCTTATGATTTTCTCAACATTTTCTTTTCTCTAGCTTATTTCATTCTAAGAATACAGTATATAATACATATAACATACAAAATATGTGTTTATCAACTGTTTATGTTATGGGTAAGGTTTCCAGTCAACAGTAGGCTATTAGTAATTAAATTTTGGAGGAGTCAAAAGTTATATGCAGATTTTCAACTGTGTGTAGGTCATTACCCCTAACTTTGCTCAATGGTCAAGTGGTATAACCTTGTTTAAGGATCAACTGGTCTACCTGGTTGCACTAAATGGCTTGAAAAGATTCACTGAATATAGAAATTATCCAAAAAGTCTCTGTGTCCTCAAGGAAATATAACCAGTCAACATTTATAAGATATCCATATATGCACTAAAATTAGTAAGTAGCAATCCTTCAGACTTTGGATTAGATGAAAAGAATGTGTCTTAATGGTGAGGGCTGTCAGGTGTTGTGAAATGGAGCCAAAGGACAGGAAAATTGGCATCTTGTGCTGAAAGCTTTAAAAAGGCTGAATTCACATCTGTCTTTGTAGGTTTATATGTGTTTCTGAGACTAGATTAGATAATCTCATACATTTTTGTGATCCTATGAAGTTCTATATTTTTAAATTGTAAATGTCTTTAGTGGGAATGTGCTCTTTTTTTTCTTACTGGAACTAAGCAATATACAGGATACACTGCTGATATAATGGAATCCATCTTCCAAGGAAATATTCTTCAAACTTTTTCAACCTGCCATACATTTTCAGATCTCTAAATTTTCCCTGACATGGACCAGAGGGGTGGGAATGAGGGTGGGTAGCGGCAGGATATTGTCTTCAGAACAAAAATTAATTGCATGCTGGTTAAGGTGACCATATAATCTGTTGCTTAAACCAGGACAATTTAAAAAAAAATGCTTTCAAAAATGTTTTTGTTGAAGTTTAATCTACATGCAAAAAAGTGTACATATAATGTATAGCTTGATGAATCTTTCCTCAGTGGATATTTATGTAACCAGCACCCAGACTGAGAAACAGAATATTAGCAGGAAGCTAGAAATCCCTTTATGTTCCTTTCCAGTTACTATACTCTTTCCTCACAAGGGTAACAACTATCCTGACTTTTCTTATTGCAGAGATGAGTTTTGTTTGCTTTTATACTTCGTATAAATTGAATCCATACAGCATATACTTGTTTATGTCTCGTTTTTTGGCATCGACATTATAGGTTGATCCATATCGTTGGATGAAGTTCTAGTTATAGATTATTCATTCTCTTTGTTGTATATTATTCTATGGTGTGAATATATCACAATTTATTTATTCATTCTATTAATGATGGGCATTTGGGGAGTTTCTAGTTTTTGGCCACTACAAATGGTGCTGCTAATAATATTCTAGTGCATGTCTTTTGGTGAACATATGTACATATTCCTTTGGAGCATATACCCAGGAGTAGAATTGTTGGATCATAAGTTACACGTAAGTTTAGCTTGAATAAATGCTGCTGGTTTTCCAGAGTGTTTGTTCTCATTTAATCTCCTATTGTAGAACATGAGAGCTCTGATTGCTTTACATCCTCTCCAATACTTGGCATTTTTCATGTTTAGCCATTCAGATTTTGGTAGACATATTCTCATTTGATTTTAATTTGCATTTCTCTGTTGACTAATGAAGTTGATATTTTGCTTATGTTTCTCTCTCTATTTTTGGATATACTTTTTGGTAAAATACTGGGATATATTCTTTTGTCTATTTAAAACTTGGTGCATATTTTTCTATTCCTTAATCTGTCTTTTCTTATCAAACTAAGACACACACAAAAACAGTTCATAAGATTAATAATTTAGTTTTGGATTTGCTGAGCTTGAGATATACGGAGGCATCTATATAGCGATGTCAAGAAGTTGTTGAATTATATGGGTCTGGAGTTCAGAAGAAAGTTCTGGGCTGGAGATACGAATTTTGGAGTCCCTGCCATGTAGGTGGCATCTCAGTGAAAGAGTGAATGAGGCCACCCACAGAGAAAAAGTCTTAGAACTGAGCCTGAGAGCTACCAGGGTTTGTTCATAAGTTGGGAGTAATGAAGATGCTGGCAAAGGAGCCCAAGAATGAACTCGTGAGAGCCAGGGAAGAGGGGAGAACCAGAAGCCAAGTGAAAAGGGTTTCATGGAAGGGAGTGTTCGGTGTGTCAAAGTGTTCAACTTGTTTTGATTAAAAATAACACCACATTCTGTCCCCTTTCGTCTCTTTCTAGCCATCATCGTATACAGACTGCCATGGACCTGGAAATGCAGCAAGCTCCTGATGAAGTCCATCCATGCAGGGTTACACACCGTTGCTGCCATTCTCGTAATTATCGCTCTGGTGTCTGTTTTTGATTTCCACAATGCCTTGAGTATCCCCAACATGTACAGTCTACACAGCTGGGTCGGGCTGACAGTTGTCATACTCTACATCTTACAGGTCAGTGTCTCGGTGTATTTATAAACACATTATAAAAAGTACAACAGTTCAGATACCGTAGATGTTTTCTATACATTCATATTTCTTGGAAACTGTCTTCTCATTCCCCCACTTGGCTCTGCTCCATTTTGTTTCCATTTTAGGTATGCCCCCCTGAGGGACCACCAGAACTGCAGAATTCACAGTCTTTAAGCTTGAGTGTGAGATTTTAGATATGGACAGATCTGTGTAGGGAAACTGCCATGTGCAGTTCCATGTGCTAAATAAATAAGCATAGGCAAGAGCTACAGATTTTTTCCCCATATTCTCTATCACTTCTATTTTCTAACTTTATGAATGAAAACATGAATTTTACTTCTTTGTTAGATTTTGAAGGCTCAGTGGTTAATTTAGTTTTCCCCTTCCCTCATTTAGTAAAAACACATACTTTTGGGAGCACTGTATTTAAACATAAGCTAATGGAGTGTGATAGGGATTTGGCTGTTCTAGGTCACTGAAGTAAAAGGTTAATTTTAAAAGTCTTTTTGGTGTTAACCACTTTGTTGAAAAATCTTTGTCAACTATGTCAATTCCTTTCCCTTGCTTAGTACAGTATATAGCCAGCTACCTAATTGGGATATCAATGTAAACTTTAGTTTTCTGTGAACATAGGAGAAGAAACTGGAGTGAATCCATAAAACCCCAAGGCGCATCTTTTTTTTTTTTTTTTAAGATTTATTTATTTATTTGAGAGAGAGAGAGCACGCGAGCATGGGGGGGAGGGCAGAAGAAAAGGGAGAGAGATTCTCAAGCAGACTCCATGCTGAGCACAGAGCTCGACATGGGGCTCGATCTCACGACCCTGAGATCATAACCTGAGTCGAAACCAAGAGTCTGACTCTCAGCTGACTGCGCCACCCAGGCACCACCCCCAACAAGGCATATCTTAAAATATATGAATGTATGACCTCTTAGAAAAAGACCTCTTACCAGGTATCTGTCATTTCTCTTTTTAAAGAAAGGCTTTTAAAGCCTTAAGGCTTCTTGAATTTTAATTAAATAAAAGTTAATGTATGTATGGACACTACTGATTATTTAAGTTTGCATTACCATGACTGGAGGTAGGGATTAGAGAATGGAAAGGGGCCAGACAGGATGGGAGCACAGAGAAAACCCTGGATCAAACATGATCTTACTGATAAGAAGGAACAAGAAAAATATCTCAAATTGGATAGCTGAGCCTAGCTCAGACCTCCTGTCCTCAAGGCTGATTTTCCCTCAGTGTTCTCTTCTGGGAGGCAGCTTTTTTCTCCCCCAGCAGCTAGTGGGTCCTCCCAGAGAGTAGGATGGCAAGAGCAGAGGCCACTGAGATGCTGCCTGTTGCTTTGGGGACCCCCTTGGCTTCCTGGCGTCTCTTCAGAACTTTTCTCCACTCCGTGTTCTGCTTTCAGCCGTCCGTTCCCCTCACTTTGTCTCACTTCCTCTGCACCACTTCAGGATGCGGAACACAGGAGAGGGAGTGCTGTGTGAAGCATTCTGCCTATCTCCCCTAGTCCTTCATGGGAGAGGGCCTTTGCCGGTGCTGAGGATGTGCAAGTTACACAGCCAGAGGCAGAGCTGGGACTCAGGCCCAAGTCTGGGGCCCTCCCCACAAGCACTTAGTTCTGCTGTTCCCACGATGTCCCCATGATCACTCAGCTAGCCTTTGAGGATCCTCAGCTGGAGGGTGTATCTCTGAGGAACAGAATGGAAACCACCCCAAAGCTATGTAGCTTCCCTGTGAGAGGGTTCTGTGGTTCTGAGTGCAGTAATTAAAACGAACTAGATAAAATACCGTTACTGAGTCATGTGATTATATAGAGCTGTCCAGATAATCCAAGATTATCTCCCAATCATAAGATCCATAAACTAATTACATTTACAAAGTGTCTTTTGCCATGTAACATAACATATTCATAGCTTTCAGGGATTAGGGTGTGAATATCTTTGCAGGTGTAGGGGGCAGCATGATTCAGCCTCCCACAACTATGAATAAAAAATAGAAGAAATTGTAAGTGAAATGAAAATCTGCTTCTTTAAAAAAAATAAAATAGATAAACCATTGCAAACCTGATTGAGAAAAAACAAAATATACAACCTTCAGAATAAGAAAGAAATATAATCATAGATACAAATAATATTTTGAAATTAGGACAGATTATTAAATTTTAATGTACAGTAATATGCTTAAAAATCTTAAAGAAAGAAAAAAGGACTATTTTCTTGCCAAATGTAAACTACCAGATTTGATCCAAGAGGAATTAGAAAACCTAAACTGGCCAATAATATTAGACAAAATTGGTAAGGTTGTTTGAAATCTATCACTAAAAAAGGCATTGGGTCCTTACTGTTTTATACCTTTGACCGTCTAGGAACAGGTACTTTCAACTATTCCAGTACACTGAGAGAAAACAAACTCTTCTTAGATGTGGCCCCGTTGTGCATTACATACTCCCACACCTAAGATGGCGGCTTGGATAACAAACACCTTTACTAACATCCAACAGCAAACACCAACTTAAACTGTGAAATACTGAAGACATTTCTATTAAATTAATAAGACATTGGTGCTTGCTTCCTTTGTCATTCAACTTTATTTTAGAGGTTTTAGCTACAAGATAATGAAAAAAATCTGTATAAATAATAGAGAATTTGTGACTTTTTTTTGGTTTGCAGATCATGTAATGTATGTCTAGTAACCCAAAAGATGGCTAGAGTAATAAGAGCATTTGGAAAGGTGGCTGGATATAAGATAGCCATTCATAATTCAATAACTTTTGCCTCAACTGAAAATAACCACTTAGAATAAGAAGTAGAATTCATTTATAATATGGATATAAAATTATAAAATACCTAGGAATAAATTGAACAATGAGGGTGTAAAACCTATATGTAGAATATGTAAGATATGGGGGCGCCTGGGTGCCTCAGATGGTTAAGTGTCTGCCTTTGGGGTCCTGGGATTGAGTCCTGCATCAGGCTCACTGCTCAGCAGGGAGTCTGCTTCTCCCTCTCTCTCTGCCCCTCCCCCTTGCTTGTGCTCTCTCTGTCTCTCTCTCAAATGAATAAATAAAATCTTAAAAAAGAAAAAAAAAGAACATGTAAAATACTATAAAATCTTATTGAGAAAACGTGGTATAATTAGAGAGATACCATGTTACTAAAAGAGAAAAATTAATATAGAAATATCTTTCCCTCTTCAACCATATTTATTTTTAATATAATTCTAATTTTAAGCCCGATGGGAGTCTTAAACTTGCAGAGCAAATATCCAAGGATAATCAAAAAAATTTTGAAAAAGAAGCAAAGGGAGACCTGCCTTATTCAAAACAAGTTATTAAAACAAAAGTAAACAAATTATAGTCATGGAAAGAACAGAGAGGACAGAAACAGTCCAAGTATGTATGAGAACTTTTTCTATGACACTATGGTATTTCAATTTAGTGGAGAAAGAATTTTGCTTATTTAATAAATGCTACCATCATAATTGGTTATCCATTTGGAAGAAACCAAATAAGCAAAAGGACTCTGTATATACCACAAAAGAAAAAAGATTCCAGATAGATTAACGTTTTAAATATTAAAAAAACAAAGCCAATGAAAAGAGAAAAAGAAAACTAAGAAGCATATAATCTGTATAATCTGAGGTTGGGGAGTCCATAGGGTTGACAAGAAATCACAAGTCATAAAGGAAAAGAAAGACATATTTGATTACATAAATTTTTTAAAAAAATTATATGGGGCAAATATACCAAAGTCAAAAGAAACTGCACCAAGGGGATATGGGGAATAATCATGTCATGTGTTAAGGGTTAATGCATTTAATATATAAAACAACTCCTTTTTTTTTTTTTTTTAAGATTTTATTTATTTGTCAGAGAGAGAGAGAGGGAGAGCACAAGCAGGGGGAGTGGCAGACGGAGGGAGAAGCAGACTCCCCGCTGAGCAAGGAGCCCGATGTGGGATTCAATCCCAGGATTGGGATCATGACCTGAGCCGAAGACTCAATCGACTGAGCCACCCAG